ACCCTAAACCCTGGATCCTAAAACCTAGAACCGATTCTTGGGTCCTTTGGACCCTTAGGGACAGAGCCTCGCCAGGTTGGCGCCATGTCCGTCAGGAGCTCTTGGACCCGGCCTTCCTTCGAAACGGGTTGTGGGTTTAGGGTTTAGGGTTTAGGGTCTAGGGTTTAGGGTTTAGGGTCTAGGGTTTAGAGTTTAGAGTTTAGGGTCTTCGAAAACCAGCCAGGTTGAGGGCTTATCGGGCTTTATGGCGCTTTAGGGTTTAATTCTGTGGTTTAAGTCAACCCTGAACCGCCTGAACCCTAAGGGTTTTAAGGGTTTATGGGTTGTTAGTAGGGTTGTGGGCTTCGGCTTCGAGTTTCGGGTCGAGGGTTCAGGCTTCGGGGTCGAGGGCTTTTTTGTGTTCGGGTCTAGGGTTCGGGTTCTTCACTATCAAGCGTTCTGCTGCTCTTCTAGGTTTAGGGCTTAGGGTTTAAAACCCTAAACCCTACACCCTATCCCAAAACCCCAAAGCAGGTTTAGGGTTTAGGGGTCCTTCAAGGCTTATGTTTCCTCTCAGCAATCTACGGTTTAGGGCTTAGGGTTTGAGGCATATTTCGCTAACGTTGGCGATAAGATACTAGGAGGCTTCACGATGCGACCCTGTCAGCTGACTCAGTCGGGTTCTGGTTTAGGGCTCAGGGCTTAAGGCTGAGGGCTCATAAGGTTTCTACGATGGTTCTTAAGGGTTCTACTTTGGGCTCTGAATTTGTTTGTTGGCGGTGTTGGCGGTGGTGGTGGTGGTGGTGGTGGTGGTGGCGATGGTGGGGGCTTTGCTTTAGGGTTGGAGGTTCAGTTGTTCTCTTGGTTTGCTTTTCGGGGAGCCAGGCTTTGGTTGTAGGGTTCCGTTCTAAAGCGCTGGTCTTTATCAAAGGCAGGGTTTCGGCCTGTGCCTATCCTTCTCGGGGTTCCGTGGTTGGGTTTAGGAGTTACGGTTTCTTTCTACTCTACACTCCGAAATTCCCTTCCAGCACACCGGAAGCCTGATACCCTCCGAACGACATAGCCCAATAGACACCAGATACTTTCGACCCTCAAAAAAAACTTAATAAAGCCTAGGTGGCCCTAAACCCTCAAAGCCATCTTGACCCTAAGCCCTGACCTCTTCCTTGGACACTTATGTCGTGTCAACAGCTGCAGCTTCAAGCACAAAGACTGGAGGGAGCGGTTTAGGGTTTTAGGGTTTAGGGTTTTAGGGTTTTAGATTTTGGGATTTATGGTTTAGGGTGAAACTGGAGCCCTCGCCCACACACTCTGGACATGTGAGGGCGGCACGGGAAAGTCACAAGCCCTCCGGCACTTCGAATATGCAGGACTCACAAGACTGGGAAGAGGGCATGCAGTATACGGACCTCAAACCCCGTAAACACTGAGCCCTATAAACCCTATAAACCCTGAGCCCTAAACCCTGAACGCCATCAACCCTAAACCCTGTAAACCCTGACCCCCACAAACCCCAAACTCAAAAACACGCTCAACTGCATAAAACCCTGAAGACATCGACGAAGGCTCCGTGAGGGGGCAGAGGCCCATCTCCTCAGACGACTCTTGGTTCGTTTGTGTCTAAAGAGTTTAGGAAGTAGGGCTTGCGGTCTAGGATTAGATTTGCCCATTAATGGTCTTTAGCGACGACTATGGGGGGACTCTTCCCCGAATCGTAATAGTAATTGCGAATCTAGGCACAGTAAATGTGGGTTACTATTACTTGGGACCTGAGCCCAACCCTAAACCCTAAACATCCCCAATCCGTTTTAAACCCTGACCCTGACCCTAAAGCTCAAAATAGCCCCCAAAGTCCTTAGAAATATGAGTCCTTCGAGCCTTTGGGTAAGAACCCCCTGAAAACCCTGAAGCCTAGCCATCCCCCAAACCCTTAAACCCTAAGAACCCCTAAAAGCTGGGAAACACAAGCGGCTCTAAACCCGAGCCCTCAAATCGCCCCAAACCTGAAACATCCCTGTACCCTAAGCGCCCTTAAACCCCTTAGCTGTTTGGGACTGGGGAGTCATCAAGATTTGCAGCGGCTTTAAGCACAGCCTTCTCATTCCAGAAAAGGCTCATGAACTGAGGCGGTTTAAGGCTGCAAGGCCTTCCAGTTTAGGCGACCCTAGGCCCCTAAACCCCTAAACCCCTAAACCCCAAACCCCAAAATCCTAAACCTCCAAACCCCAAACCTCCAAACCTTGAGCCCTAAAGAGTTTTAGGGGTTTGGGGGTCCCGGGTCTTGGGATGAACAGTGCGAGCTGCCAGGGTGACGCGGTAAACGAAGTTCTTCCGCCGGCGTGGAACACACTCCGAGATGCCGCTAACCTCCTGGCACAGCAATGCTGAGGTTGTAGTTGAGCCATAAGTAACGATTACTCTTCTCATTACTTAACCTACAAGGCTACTATCCGTAACCCAAGTACATGATTACTAGGTTCTTTGGACCCTTAAACCCTCCTTAGAACCTTACAGCTGCCCATAGATTATGGATCCCTTATGGAACTCTTATAGAACCCCTTATTATTGAGGTCCTTTGGACCCTGACAAGGGACGTGCACAGACCCTAAGGGTCCAAGTGCCCAAATAGTATATACTTTGGCCTTACAGTAGTCCCTATTTGGGTACTTTGGGGCCAGAGTACATACCATTTGGGTACATGGACCCTTAAATACCCGAAATATCCCTAAACCCTTAGGGTACCCCTTATAGAACGTACATGGACCCTTAGGGAGAGGCGTTTTTTTTTGTGCGTGCTTTCTTCATCGCGGATCGGCTCCAGCAAGGTGCTGCTCTGCTCGGTGGCTGCTGTCAATGAAGAGATCTTTAAATGAAGGGTTAAGAGTTTAGGGTTTAGGGTTTAGGGTTTCAGGTTTAGGGTTTAGGGTTTAGGGTTGAGGGTTTAGGGTTCTACGTCTGGTTGCCTGGTGGGGTTATATTAAACATGATGTTGTTTAACCATTATTAGGTTTTATTATCACAAAAATTGAAATTGCATCCAACAAGGATCCAGACGTAATGTAGGGGCCTTAGTAGGTAGAGTAGGGTTTGGGGGAATGTTATACTAGAAATATCAGTGAAATGGCTGTATAAGATCCCACGGTTCAAGAACCTTAGCCCTACTCTTGGCGGGATTCACATAATTCAGGTCGCTTCAAAATTGAGAACCCTAGGGTACCCTGCCTTTCGCGATCAGGTACTTAGTTTTCGTTGGGTGGAAGTGGTTTCGCAGTGGCTTGGCTTGTTATGAAAACCCCGGGGCAGCGGCAGGCAGGGGTGGGGGTGGGGGCAGGTGGGCAAAGGCAGACACAAATTAGTGTCAAACACTAATTCGTTTTTGCCCCGGGCAGTGGGGTGGGGATTGGGGTGGGGTTGGGGGCAGGGGTGGGCAGGCAAAAACGAATTAGAGTCAGACACTACTTCCAAAATAGTCCATCATCTGGCAGGGTAAGGGATTCGATTAAGAACCTTAGCCTGCCCTAACTACTCAGCCGGCTACGTGAGACGTAATGGAGACTAAGAACCCTAAGGTAGGCTACTCTCGCCGGATGGGGTGCTTATACAGGATTTCACTGTAAGGAACCCCCCAAAAAATTCAAAATAGTATAGTAATATTTTTTTTTTATGTCTAAAAAAAAATTTATGTTTGAGTAAGGCCCGTATGTTTCATCGGAGGTGTTGGGGGTTTCGAGGGACACTGCACATGGAGATCACAGCTCGGCCATCGGATTGATCTGCTTCTCTTCTTGACCCTACCAACCCTATGGGCCCCTGTACCCAAATAGTAAAAACCTGGGCCATACAGTAATATAGGGGCCATAATGATCAGAATCGGTTTTTGGGGCCCATTATAGTATCATTATAAGAAGCAACCCCCAAAACAGTATGGGTAATTGTTTTGGCCCCCACATTGGTCCCTATTTAGGTACTTCGGGGTCAAAGTATATACTCATGGACCCTTAGGGAAACTTCGCTAGCAGCTGTGGTCGAACTCGGCATCCGCGTCGTCAGCATCGTCGTCACGTAGCAGTAGCTGTTTTGGCAGGAAGTCTTGTTATCGTCGCGGTCGTCGTCGTCCTGCTACATTTTATGAGAAACCCGAACAGAAAAAAGTGAACCCGTCGAAAGTCTCGGCCATACTTGGTCCTCCTCCGTGAAAGCATAGCCGTACTCGCGTCGATACACTTCGACACCTGCAGCTCATAGAGCTTTAGCTGGTTCAAGGAACATACTATGTAGGGTTCCTTAACTGCGTGAGGGTTTGGTATCGATGATATGTTGTAGATGCTCACCTCACCGAGCGTGTTGTTGATATAGTTGTGGTATTGCCAATGCAGAACTCACACGCGCAATTGTACACAATGTAGAGCGGCGCACCCTTCCTTTTCTCACTCGCCTTGGCTGACGTTGAGTCTTTGCAG